AAATGGACAAAAATTGTGTACCTAGGGATGAGGACAGTGCGGGGATAAGGGCAGAGGGTGGGGTGGGAACTAGGTGGAGGGGAGCTGTGGGAGGGAAAAAGAGGAACAACTAAGAATCTGAACAATAAAGATTTATTAAAAAATGTGAAAAAATAAAAAAAATTGATGTAAAATTTATTTTTTTTGCTTTGGTTGTTTGTGCTTTGGATGTCATCTCTAAGGTGCCATTGCTTAATCCAGTATCACAAAGAATTACAGTGTTTTCTTCTAAGAGTTTTATAATTTTAGCTGTTATCATGTGGTCGCAAGGTCATTTTTTTAAATGGTGTGAGGTAGGGGTTTAAAGTCATTCTTTTCTGTGTGAATATGCCGTTGTTCCAGTACCATTTGTTGAAAATATAGTCTTTCTCTACTGTATTATCTTTGTGCCTGTGATGAAAAGCAGTTGACCATAAATATAAGGTTTGTTTCTAATCCACTGAAGTCTCTTCCCTTGATCTGTATGTTTGTCTTTATGCCAGTAGCCCACAATCTTGATTACTACAATTTTGTGGGTTTTTTATTTTTAAATTAAATGCTCTTCATTATCCATGTATAGAAATTCACTTAACTTTTGTCTAACCACATTTTATTAATTACAACTATTGTCTATAGATTATTTTGGGTTTCTCTTGTAGGTGATCATTATCTATGAGTTATGATAGCTTTGTTTCTTATTTTCCAATTCTCATATTTTTTAAAAATTTATTTTTTCTTTTCTTATTGCACTGACCAGAACTTTAAGAACCATAGTGAACAAAAGCCTCGATAGTAGACATCTTTGTCTTAGTCTTGGTTTTAAAGGAAATGTGTTTGACATTTCACCGTTAAGTACAAAGTGTGCTGTGGGCTGTTCATGGATATTCTTTCTCAGCCTAAGAATATTCTCTTTCTAGTTAATTTAGAGTTTTTATGCTTGAATAGAGGTTGAATGTTGTCAACTACTTTTTCTGTATCTATTGAGATTATCATTTTCTTCCTTGAAATGTTAAGATAGTGAATTTTACTGGTCTCTTTTCTAATGTTAACTCAGTGTTTCCTACAATGAATTCAACTTGGTCTTAATATAGAATCTTTTTTTGTACATTAGCAGAATTCTGATTGCTAATGTTTTGTTTAGGTTTTTGGCATTTGTAAACATGTGTGAGTTTGAGTATACCTACGTTTGTTAATGCTTTTACTTTTTTCCTGCAATACAGACAGGAGTGCAGTGTTTCCTGCATGTAGACTAATTGAAGTTCAATGTATCTTGCAGAAGTAATAGACCTTACTCATGAGAACAAAGATGATCTTCAGGCTGCCATTGCTTTGAGTCTCCTGGAGTCCCCCAAAGTTCAAAGTGATGGAAGAGATCTTAATAGGTAATTGATTTAATTTATAATCTTTGCTCCCTACATTAGTGTGTAGGTCAAAGGCAATAGCTCTGTGAGTGCCACTCAAGAACTATTCTTTCAGGCTCCTTCAATTGCATCTGAATTAAATTTTTTAAGGGAAATTTACTAAATTTAGCTTACTCTGGTTCACTTTTGAAAAAGCCAAATATGATAAGTGTCTTATTGCAGCCTGTGGTCTTTGGGCAGAAGCCTGCAGGTTATATAGTTCATAATTGCTAATTTATGGTCAGGGCGGTGGGGGGAGCATTCTAGTGTAGGTATCCAATAAATATGTATGCCCTTTATAATCATTGAGCCTTTGTAAACTTTGAGGGTTATGTTGATTTTTAAAAATGAAATAATGATTCAATTACTCTGTCTCAGAAGGGAACAGGGATAGTATTTGAATTGGTACTAATTTGGTGACTGCCTAGAATTGTCACAAATATCCAGTTCCAGTGGTGGCCTGTCCGTTTCCATATATGTTTATTCCCTTGTACTGTCGAGTTGTTCTTTCAGGGAAACACAGGGCTGTGGTTTGGGTACTAGACAGTTTGGAGGCTCTTTTTAAAAAATATATTTTTATTGACTTCAGAGAGAAAAAGAGAGGGAGAGATAGAAACATCAACGACGAGATGGAATCATTGATTGGCTGCCTCCTGCGCGTCCCACACTGGGGATTGAACCTGCAGCCTGGGCCTGTGCCCTGACCTGGTTCATAGGTGGACACTCAACCACTGAGCCATGCCGGCCGGGCCGGAGGCTCTTATCTTTAGCAGGGTGTCTCTCTTGCCTCTTTCAATGACATGGTCTGAGAGAGGGCACTGTTGCTGAAATCTAAAACTTTTCCTACAGTACCATAAATAGTCTTGAGCAGGGGTGGGCAAACTTTTTGACTCGAGGGCCACAATGGGTTCTTAAACTGGACCGGAGGGCCGGAACAAAAGCATGGATGGAGTGTTTGTGTGAACTAATACATGTTAACACTGCTGCTGGTGAAAGAGCGGAGGGGAGAGCAAGAGAACCCTCCGCTCTTTCGGCTCCGCGGGCCGGCTAGAACAGCCGAACGGGCCGGATCCGGCCCACGGGCCGTAGTTTGCCCACGGCTGGTCTTGAGTCTCAACTCAGTTCCATGAAGCACCTTATTAGTAATACTCTCTGTTATAGAAGGATTAACATCTATGTGTTTAAATCTTATTTTTCACTTGTTATAATCTTATAATTAGTATATAGCCAGTGATTACCCAGCAAATAGTTGGCGTTTTGAACTACCTATGAAAGGTTACCAACATCCTCCATGTAGTATGTTGTTCTTTAACTTTTTCCTTTTCTGATGTGTGGTATGTTGGCACCATGCAGGATGCACGAGGCAACCTCTGCAGAAACTAAACGCTCAAAGAGGAAACGCTGTGAAGTCTGGGGAGAAAATCCCAATCCCAATGACTGGAGGCGAGTCGATGGTTGGCCAGTTGGGCTGAAAAATGTTGGCAATACATGTTGGTTTAGTGCTGTTATTCAGGTATGATATTTTTAAAGAGCAAACTGTGTAATTTTGTAATTTTGAAACAATATTGTAATTTACTAGACCAAAATGTGAGGAACATAGCTTTAAAAAAATGGAAACATATATAAGACTGGGGAGTTTCCCCCACAGCATCGTGTTTGGTTGCTTTCTTGTGTTCTGGATTTATATGGTCTGGTGTTTACATTGGACAGTACTAAAAACAAGGTCCTCTGTGGCTGTGAATATGTTGAGTCGGTGTTTTAGATCAGCATTCAGTGACTACTGTGTTGTAGCAGAGCAAGAGTTACTAAGGAGAAGCCAATTGGAGGCTGCCATGCATGCAGGCAGGTAATGACGGTGGTCTGCAACAGAGAAGTGGCATAAGCCACAGAGAAGAGAAGTAAAGCATTTGGGAGGTGTTAGGAGATCAGATCTACAGGATTTGGGGAGTGACTAGATTCAGGGTCTCTGCAGGAGAGAGCGGAGAAAGACTCTCAAGGTTTCTAGTTGGTATACAGGTGGATGATACCTCTTGACCCTTCAGGAGGGCTGATTTGGGTGTGTAAGAGTGGGGTTTCTGTTCAGTCCCTCCTCCCCCAATAGTTAGGTGGCAGACCAAGATATGTGACAAAAATAGGATAGGTCAACACTTAAAGAATCATGGACTGTGGAGGAGAGAGGAACCTTTAAGGTACAGTGGGCCTTGACTTACGAGTTTAATTCGTTCGGAGACCGAGCTCGTTAAGGAGCTCGTTAAGGAGCTCGTTAACTCAAATTACTCTATCAACTCAATGCAAAAAATCGCCGAGAGACAGCTGGTATTTCAAAAAACTCGTTAGTCGGGACACTCGTAAGTCAAGGCCCCACTGTATTCCAGTACAGAGTCCTCATTTTAACTTTTTATCTTCTCTGATTCCATGTATAGCACTTTTCAATGACAATATTTATAAACACTTAACAACAGCACCATATTCTAGACCAGTGGTTCTCAACCTTGGCTGCACATTAGAATCACCTGGGAATCCTTTTAAAATCCTGATTTCTGGGCCTCATCCTCCAGAAATTCTGTTTCTCTGTTATGCGGTGGGGTCACAACATTAGTAACAAAGAAACAGAATTTCCGGAGGATAAGGCCCAGAAATCCTGGCAGGAGGTGGAGAAGGGCATACACTGTCTACTGGCCACACCACTTTCCTGATGGATACTTTACAACAGAGGTTCTGAGGAAGTTCACTTATGTAGTTGAGGAAGTAAATAAATTGATGACATTTTTGGTTGCTATATTCTAGACCAGTGGTTCTCAACCTTGGCTGCACATTAGAATCACCTGGGAATCCTTTTAAAATCCTGATTTCTGGGCCTCATCCTCCAGAAATTCTGTTTCTCTGTTATGGGGTGGGGTCACAACATTAGTAACAAAGAAACAGAATTTCCGGAGGATAAGGCCCAGAAAACCGTATTTTAAAAAGATTCCCAGGTGAGACAGTGGGCTCCCTGAAGGCAAAGCCAGTGTATAATTCACCTCTCAGGGTTTCTTGAGTAGATGAGTGAGTGAATTGAGTGGGTGAAGGAACACTGTGGTACAGAGGGGTTGAGTTGTTGAGGAAGCCTTGGGAAGCCACCTGGCCCCTCCAGGGCTGACTTCACTGTGGCCCCATCACGGCCTTGTAGTCCCTCATGTGACCCCGTTGTTCTCTTACTGGAGTGATGTGAACACAGCATCTGGGCTGCTGCCCGTGCAGGCGGATGGCCTTGCCTGCCCCATCCCACTGCAAGTCCCCAGGTTAGCTGCTGGGTTTTTCTCTCAGTGATGTGACTGGGCTTCCTGTCTTCCCTGACACGTGTGCAGATTTCCCCCTAGGAGTCTCCAACTAAAATCTCACAGAAAGGGATTCCTCTGCCATCTTCATGCTTCTGTGTGACCATCCAGGAGTGCTTTTAGGATTAACTCATCAATGGGCTTCCACCTTTAACCTAAACCCAGCAGGAAGCCACAGAGCATCCTTTTGGCCCTTCCAGTTCCCGGTGAAAAGCTAGCTAACAGTGTGGCTGCTGAGTGTGCTTGAATGGGCCGTCATCTTGCCATCTGCCGCCATCACCATCACAGTCTTGGAGCCACCCCCTTCTCGACAGAGTGGAGCCATGAGGTTTGTGAGGTGGTCATGGCCTTCAGTCCCAAAACATCATGTGGCCCAACTCCTCTAACAAGACCAGTCAAATATTGGGGGTGTTCCTGGAAATCCAGCACCTCAAATCTGATTCTTGTGAGGCAGGCCTCTGAGATCAGTTCAGTTTTATACTTGCTGAGTTTGAGGGTATGTAGGCAGTGAACTCTGAATCTGTAGTTCAGTAAAAAGATCTGGGCTGCAGGTATGTTCTGGGGATTAGTGGCATGGGTAGAGATAAAGCCAAGGGAGTGGATGAACCCCGTAGAGAGAGCGGCCCTAGAGTTGTCTCAGGCATCTGCACCAGACATGGCCACAGGGCCGACGCGACCCCGCACCTGCAGTCTCCTCCGTCATAGCATTGGACATCCACCCAGCTGCTCAGCCAGAAACGGGATCCTCCCTTTCCACACATAAAATCTATGGCCTCCTGTGCCTGGCACTGCTTGGCATTGGGGAAACAGCCGTGAATAAGCAGCCCTCACTCCCATGGAGTTTACCTTGAAAAGGGTGGGACAGACGGTAAATAGAATGTCAGGTGGTGACAAGTGCCATAGAGACAAATGGATGAGGGTAAGAGGGGCCCAGGAAGGAAGCAGCTACAGAGGCTGCTGTTTGTGTAAGGTAGTTAGGTGTGGCCTTTTTGATAAAGTGGGCATCTGAGCAGAGGCCTGCATTAGGTGAGAGAATGAACCATATCCTGTATAATAAAAGGCTAATATGCAAATTGACTGGTGGAACGACTGGTTGCTGTGACGCACACTGACCACTAGGGGGCAGACACTCAATGCAGGAACTGCCCCCTGGTGGTCAGTGTGCTCCCACAGGGGGAGCACCGCTCAGCTAGAAGCCGGGCTGACAGCTGGCCAGCGCAGCGGTGGTGACAAGAGCCTCCACAGCAGCGCTAAGAATGTCTGACTGCTGGCTTAGGGGAGCAACCCTAAGCTGTCAGTGGGACATCCCCTGAGGGGTCCCGGACTGTGAGAGAGTGCAGGTTAGGCTGAGGGACCCCCCCCCCTCCCACACACACACACATGAATTTTGTGCACTCGGCCTCTAGTAATTACATAAAAGCATTGTAGACAGAGGAAACAGCAAGTAAAAGACCCAGGTTCAGAAGCTTGCTTAATGAGTTGAGAAATAGGAAAAAGGCTAGAACTGAGTTATGGGGGAGAGGGTGACTGATAGTGATGAGGTCAAAAAGGTGGAAATGGGGTGGGGAGCATGGTGTCATGATGATGATTTAGGGAATATATATGAAGTGGGCAAGTATTGGGAATGGAGCAGAGAAGTGATAGGATCCTACTTCCATTTCAAGAGGACTACTGGAATCTACGTTGAGAACGGAATGTAGGAAGGTAGTGTAGAATTAAGGACATCAGTCAGTTCTTAGAGAGATTGGGGCCCCTCCCTGTATCCACACCCCCTCAGCCTTCGCTCCTGTGAGAGATGTTGAAAAGAACTAGCAGGTAGAGGGGATAATTGAGTACAGTTTCTGAGAGCATGAGAGGACAGGCTATGGCACATACAGGGAGGGAATAGGAAAATGGGAAGACTAATAGGGAACGAATAAGGAAGAAATGATGACTGAAAATAAAGTTGATATAGTTTCTAATAGTCGTTTTTTCCTCTGTGAAATAAGCAGCCCTTTTCTGAGACTGGGCGGAGGAATGATAGAGTCAGATTTTAAATGGAGCGAAAGTTTAAGAGTTGTTGCAGACAGTGGGCAACCGGTTGGCAGCAGAATATAATATTACGGTGATATCAGTATGTCCTGTTTTTATCGGAACTTCTTAGCAGCGCTCTGAAACTGGAAAGTTAAATTCATTTAGGTTGGAGGAGTTTCTGGGTCTGGTGAAGGCAAAAGAGCAATTTGAGAATTTAATGAAGGGAATTAAAGGTAGAAAGAGGGAAAAATGAAGACAGGAAGGAACTAATTATTAGGGGAAAAGGAAAGAGGTCAGTTTGCTTGGGTTCCTGATGAAATCAAGGGACAGATGTCCTGTAGGTAGTTGAAAAGATAAGCCAGAAGACAGGCTATGGTTTAAGAGTGGGATTTTCTGCATTTGTGATCTGGCACCTTTTCAGGTGTTGGCATATCCCAGGTGTGGCCGGGGTGTGGGTGTAGAGATGGACTGGAGGAATGTGTCAGGAGACAGGTCCCTGGGCTGAGTGGACGAGCATGTGTTCTCGCAGCACATCCTAGTTGAACATCCCACCTCCTGTACGTCTAGAACTGCTGTGGGCCCTTGAGATGCAGGAGTGAGCACAGCCAAGACTGAGCCCTGCCCTTATAGAATTAAGATGTGGTAAATTTATATACTACGTGAGACTGTGATTGGTGTGACAGAGAAAAGAGCAGGTGAAGGGAGATTGCAGTTGCTGCAGGAGACTGGAGCAGGTTGCAGTGTAAACGGTGATGTTAGGCTGAGGAGATGAGATTGGAGCAAATGCCAAGGGAGTGAGCCAGGCAGCTGAGCGGGGAGAGTATTCCAGGTCGCGGAAACCAAGGTGCACGCCTTGAGGTGGGAGTGTGTTCATGGGGTTGCTGTGTGCACAAGACACCCTGGAGTCCCGAGTGGCAGGAGTGCTAGGGGCAGAAGGGAGAGTCCTCAGGGATGAAATTGGAAAGGTAACTTGTCTTTCATTCTGGGTGAGATGGGAGTCACTGAGGGTTCTGAGCAGAGGGGTGATGAGCTCTGACCCAAGTTTTAAAGGCTCACTTTGGCTACTGTGAGAATGGATGGAGTGGACAAGAACCAGTGAAGAAACCTATGGCGACTACTGCAGTCGTCCACGTGCGAGGTGATGGGCCTGGAGCAGGCTGGTGGCCGTGGAAGTAGAGAAGAGGTTGGATTCCTGATTTATTCTGAGGGAGAGCTGACAGGAGGTCCCATGGGTTGAATGTTGACTGAAGTTACCTAGTAGGATGACAGGACTTGGGATTGTAAGAACTATTACCAGAGAATAGTCTTCAGTGAGTTGGGAGCTTAATTTTGGTCATTTTAGAAAGATGGAAGAACCTGCTGGCAGGTGACTTGGTACAGAGGACATTCTGGAGGCAGGAAGGCTGTGTGCTGTCATCCAGGTGAGCAGTGATGAGAGTGTGATCACAGCCAGCGATTGGAGGAGGTGGTTGGATACAGCATCCCAGGGGCTCAGTCCAGGCACTTCTCTGTGTTAGATGTGGCTGGTTAAGAAAGGGAAAGGATTCCAAGATGATTCCGAATTTCTAAACTGGAGGAGGAGGATGTAGTTAAGTAGTACAAAGATCGCAGAAGAAGCAGGTTGGGAAATGGGAGTGCCCTCTTGTGGTTTTTAAGAGCAATGGGGTAAAGCCCGATTTGGGTGAAGGTGAGGAGGTGGAGTGATGTGACTGAAAATGTAAAGCCGTTTTATCGTTGTAGAACCAAAGTCCTGGAAAAGGTTACAGGGTGGTGAGCAGAGCAAAAGTGAAACTGGGAGGAATGGAGGTGTGTGAGGGAGGCAGTCGGAGTGGAAGGAAGGAGAAGGCAGAGGGCTGATATTCCCAGCCAGCTGTGCTCCTGCCCTAGCGGGTGAGTCCCAGTAGGCCTCTGATCAAGGGAGGGGAGGGGGGACCTGTTGTCCACCCAGGTTGTGGCTTTAGGAGTCCAGGGTGCAGACTGCAGGGGCTTTTGTTTGAGGAGCGTGTTGGGATGAGGAGTTATAGTCACATGACACATTGGGAAAACATTATCTTTCAAAAGATAATCATAGTAGAAAAATGTATGGTTTACAAAACAATGAAAAGAATCCTTCATCCTAACTCTGCCAGTCAGAGATATCTGTTGTTAAAATTTTTTTAATATAATACTATGATGAGTGGAGAATAGTAAACACTGCTCTTCTCCTACCCAGCTTCAGAAATAAATGTTATGAATTTCTGGGCTATTGAGTCCCTGTTGTTCCCATCCTGTCAGCTCCTCCCTTCCCCTCAAATATAGCCATATATGTATGAATCCTAAACAATCTGTAGTATTATTATAGATAAGTAGAGGCCCAGTGCATGAATTCAGTGGATTGGGGCCAGGCCTGTCGGGAGGAGGAGATGGTGGGAGGTTGGCCAGCCGGCCCGCCCCGATTCTGGCTCTCTCTCTATATATAGATTATACTTAATATAAACAATATAACACTTTATTTTTCTGTAACTTTTGTTCACTCAAAACATGTGTCTGAGATTTATGGTAATTCATGTGGCTCTTGAGCATTTATTTTCACTGCTGTGTGGCAGTCCATTTTTACGAAAACATTTTTCTCCAAAAGTATTTTAATGATTACATAATAGCCTAGTGTATAAATGTACTATAGTTTATCTAAGCTGTTCCTCTTGTTAACCATCAGGTAGTTTTTGTTTGTTTGTTTTCTAAAAGAGATAGCATTCAGCTCAATTTTTATACATAGCCATTACTATTTCCTTCAACGTAATAGAAGTAGAATTACTATGTGGACAGTTATACATACTTTTAAGATAAAAGCAGTATTTTCTTGCTGCAGTTATTTTGAAAGAAAGGCTATCAACCCATTTCTCTCTTCATTTCAGTCTCTTTTTCAATTGCCTGCATTTCGAAGACTTGTTCTCAGCTACAGCCTGCCACAGAGTGTACTTGAAAATTGTCCCAGTCACACCGTAAGTTGTTGCTTTTGAGGAATCTTCACTGTTTAGTTCCTTTCATTCCAAAAGCTTTTAATTTTTTGGCTAAAGCTTATAACTGTGAAGCTCTTTGATTTGTACTAATACTGTTTTCACTTCCAAATGGCTCTTTTTCCTTCTTTGTGAGAAGAAATAAAGGTTTGCAAAAATGTAAAGTTAAGTAGGAATAAAATTAGAAAAACAGTTCCACGAAAGTGGTGAGTTACCTGCCGACCTCAGCACGGGGAGATGCAGAAATCATTTCGGTTGTGGCAGTGAGCAGTGAGCTGCATTAGTCACTCAGACCTAGTGATGCAGAGGAGGCAACCTAGTGCTGGAGGTCTGGGCTCAGAAGAGGCTTTAGCCCTGGCTGGTGTGCTCAGTGTTTAGAGCATTGGCCCTTGAGCCAAAGGGTCGAGGGTTCAATTCCTGGTCAAGGGCAAGTACCTGGGTTGCAAGTTCGAGCCTGGGCCCCAGTCAGGGTGGGTGCAGGAGGCAACCTATTGATGTGTCTCTCTCACATCGATGTTCCTCTTTCTCCCCTCCCTGCCTCCTTTCCACTCTCTCTCTAAAAATAAATGAAAAAAACATCCTTGGGTGAGGATTAACAAAGAAGATGAGAAGGATGAAGCCTCTCGCCAGCGATCTGACCCTTTCCAGGATTTCACCTGGGAGACAGATCTTCCTAACAGGAGGGAGAACGGCAGCTTCAGAAAACAATTACACTATTAACTCCCTTGCTTCTACGT